CTCCTCCCACATCACTCTCAGGATGGACCCCACTCTCCAGATGGACCACACTCTCTAGGTGGACAGCGATCTGGAGGGACCATACTGTGAGCCCTGGACCCAATGTGCCCATGAGGAGGACCCTGGCTTAGGACAGGAAATGCCACTCTCAGGGGTCCTCACCCCCAGCATCTACCTCAGACAGTTCCTTAAATAAATGTTCTCCAAAAACTGTAAGCAATACACCTGAAGAAAGAAAGGTTTGCAGTCAAAATAGGAAAAAACACGTAAAGCAATCAAAGAAAGAAAAAAAAAAACTGGGCAAAAGATCTGGGCAGATGTGTCACCAGGAAACTACACAGACGTGAATGGACACATGAAAATATGCTTCATATCTTAGGAAAATATAAATTAAAACCTTAATGGAACAGCACTATATAGCTGCCAAAAGGGGAATACGAAAAACAAAACAGCCAGTCAAGGTGCCACCCACCTATAATCCCAGCACTCCAGGAGGAGGCAGGAGGCAGGAGGCAGGAGAATCCCAAACTCAAGTCTAATTCTAAGTCTAGCAACTTAGTGAGACTGTGTCTCAAAATAAGGTTTTTAGAAACTAGGAATGTAGTTAGTGTAGCTCATTGTGAAGGCCTGGAATCTCCAGTGCCAGAAAAAAAAAAAAATCATCAACCCTAAAATAATACAAAGCCCAGTGAAGATATAGAGCAATCAAATTCCCTTGTGGTTTTGGTGGGAATGTAAAATGATGTATTTTGGAAACCAATGTGGTAGTTTCTGAAAATATTAAACATATATGTATGTGTGATTAGACATATATGCGTGATTCAGCAACTCCACTCCTAGGTATTTATGCAAGAGAAATAAAATCCATCTTCACACAAAAACCTGTGTATAAATAAATGTGACAGCAGCTTTACTCAGAAGTAACAGAGGGTGGAAACAACTCCAACATCTTTCAACCAATGACGGACAAATACACCGTGGTCTGCAGGACATCTGCACGCAGTAATGGAATACTACTCTGCAAGGAAAGGAACAGACTATCAACACACATAACAATTTCAGTGATGCTCAAAGGCACTCTACAAAAGAACCCAAAAAGCTACACAATTATATGATTCCATTACCATGGCTTTTTCTGTTCTGCTCTGTTTTGTTTTGTTGGGGTTTTTTCGTTTTGTTTTTAAGATAGCTACATAGCTGCCAAAAGGGGAATATGAAAACCAAAAACAGCCAGTCAAGGTGCCACCCACCTATAATCCCAGCACTCCAGGAGGCTGAGGCAGGAGAATCCCAAACTCAAGTCTAACTCTAAATCTAGCAACTTAGTGAGATTGTGTCTCAAAATAAGGTATGTAGTCCAAGACAGTCATGACAGTCTTTTTTTTTTTTTAAAGTACCAGGTACCGGGGGTCGAACTCACAACCACACACTTGCAAGGCAGGCATTTATGCCACTGGGCTAAATCCCCAGCCCTATCATGACATTCTTAAGAAAGCAAAATTATAGCAATTGAGATCCGACTGATACTCCCAGGAGATGAGGATGGGCATAGGGGAAAAGAGATCTGCAAATGATAGCTGGTATCTTGAACTGTTCTGTACTTGCTGGTGAATAAATCAACTCTATATGTTTGTCAAATGAATACTAGAGAATCTCTTTTGCTGTATGTAAATTAAAAATAAATTTAAAATAAGTCCTTGCTGCAAGGGTAGCTCAGTGGTAAAGCACTTGCATGACATTCACATGGTCCCAAACTCAATCCCCAGCACCACAAGAGACAGAGAAAAGTCCTCCTCATTCTGCCCAAAGGGTGTGGCTCAAATGGCCTCAAGCCGTCTCAGCTGGTCTCCTCTCCTCATCACCTCAGGACAGTGGCTCTCTGCCGTCTTTCTCTCTGCTCAGACACCTGGCCCCCTGCCCACCCATGTTCCTGACCCCACACACCCACAGTGACTCTGACCTCCCCATCCTCAGAGAGAGCTCGAGCGCTTTCTCCATGGATCCCTGAGCCCTCTGGCCCCTGCAGACAGGTCACCCTCTGCTCTCAGCTTGTCCTTCTTTCATCCCTGAGGTTACCAGCATTAGCTGGTCAGTCTGTCCCCCCACCAAGGCCAGGCTCCTGAAAGAAGGGCCAGGTCTCCCACTAGTATCTGCCCAGGGCCAGGCTCACAGGTAACCTGTAACTGCTGGGGGCTGGCAAAGGTCTCAGGACAGAAGAAGCAAGCTGGTACTGCAGGGACTGGCCATGTTGTGGGAGGAACAGGAAGTCACCAACACACATAGCTTTCATGAGCAGCACAGCTGTGACCTAAACTACAGGACTGAAGCGACTTGAGTCCCTGTTCCAACATGAGGTCACACGGCTGATGATGGAGCGTTTCTGAGGATGTCATGCTTCCAGTGTGCCAGCTAGTGCAGTTCCAAGCCCGCACACACATGCTCAGGACACACGTGTTGCGGCTGTCCTGTTACTAGGCAGGTCCTCTAACAGCAATAACCGATTTTGTCTATCTGATCACAAATCATTTTCACAAAGCAGAATTACCCCCACCTGACCATCAAGTCACTCTGTAAGGCCACTCACTGCCCAGCTAGGGGTTTCCCAGCGTATCACCAGCCCTCCCAATTATTCCAGCTTGTCTAAATATTGGTATTTTTTGAGACAAGGTCTAGCTATATACTCCAGGCTGGCCCTCTACTGCCTCAGCTTCCTGAGTGCTGGAATTACAGGCACCTGACACACCATGCTCAGCTCAACTTGTCTAGTTTTTAAGGACCATTTCTTTGACAAACACACACAAGTACTCCATAGGTGTGTTATGATTTATAAGGAGCGTCATGTGCTCACAGTTGGGGTTCCGGAAGGTGACTGGATTACTAGGGTTTACAGCTGGCTTGCTGTTAAGGGTTGGGGTCTGGCCAGAAGAGGCACATGCTGGAAGGAGGAGGAGGTTTCTCTCTCTCCCCAGCTCCACCCTCCACCCACCCTCGTGCTCTGCTTTTCTTTGCCAGGTCACTCACCAGCAGCTCTCGAGCAGCCCTCTTCCCAGCCGACCATGGACTGAAAGGTGAGCCAAAATAAACCTCTCCTCCTTTAAATTGTGGGTGTCAGGCTTGGGTCCCAGGAACAGCAAAGTGACTAAGGTGAGGTGCCACACACATTAACCCACCTAGTCAGCACATCGACTGCGGACCTGGTTCCCCTGACATCATCCTCATTTTGTAGAAGGGGATGTTGAGATGCGGAGCTGCTGAGCAGGTGCCCAGGGTCACGCAGCTGATGAGACAGGGACTCAAACCCAGCCAGCACCCCTGCAAAGCCTGGGTGTGGCCAGCCCACACTGAGATGCGCTGGTAGGTGTACAATGCCCACACTGTCTAGGAAAGCTTGGAAACTGTTAAAATCATAGTACTGCAGCAGATTAAGTAAAATACAGTATTAGGATTCACTGTACCAGGTTTTTTTCCTTTCTTCCAATTGTTTTTTCAGCTCTCATTGTTTTTAGTAGGTATCTGCAGAACAGAACGGTTACATTCCTCACCGGGAGCTGGTATTTCAGATGGTTTATTCATTTACTTTGCAGCATCTGGGAAGGGAAGCCTCGGCCTTGTACACGCTAGATAAGCACTTTACACTGTCTTCTCTCCTAGATTGTACACGAGGGGGCATGCTTGGGACTGGACCCAGAGGCAGCCGACCACTGCGCTAAATCCTCAGCCCTGTTTTATTTCTCTTTATGAGATGATCTCATTAAATTGCCCAGGCTGGCCTCAAATGTTTCATTTTCTTGCCTCAATTTCCCAAGTACCTAGTGACTTAGCTGAGATTCGGTCCCAAAATAAAAAATAAAAAGGGCTGGGATATAGCTCGGTGAAAGACCCCAGATTCAATCCCTAGTACCGTGGGGAGTGGGGTAAGGACACAACCACGGAATAACAAGCTCAATTCTTTTTCCTTTGGAAACACTGGGGATCCAACTCAAGGCCTTGCTCATGCAAAGCAAGGGCTCTACCACTGGTCATGCTCAATTCTTAACAGTAGAGGACGTCCCTCCCACCTTTGAAACCAGCTGTGGCTCTCAGTGTGCCTAGTGTCACAGGGTTAATGTTTTCCTTGACAAGACGTCATCACACACCAGCTTATCACTGAGTCGTGTTCTTATGCACTATTTGGTTTTCTTCTTTGCAAATTTCTTTCTTTTCTAAATGTTCTATAATGAGTTTGTATTAATTTTAAGAATTAGAAGAAATATTTTAGTTCATCCATCTACTCACTCTCAGCACTGCAGTCAACTAAGACGATTGAATTCTGGTTCTGTGGTCCAAAGTGTACTCTCCTCCCCGCCCACTGCACAGGCAGAAAACCAAGTCAGAGATCCCCTAGCTATATCACTAGAAATCTCCTGGGTGCTACCAACTCGGTGTCAACACCCAGGGTGGTTGTTCAACCAGCTAAACGTCCAACTTACAGCTGTGTCACCAGATCACCTTTCTCGTGTTCCCAAGGAAAATCACAAGACTGAAAATCCTTCCCAAATGGCTGGGAGAGACCTTGCCTAGCACTCGTGAGGTTCAGCCCCCAGCACTGCAACAGCATCTTAGTTACTTTCCTTGGTGCTGAGACAAAACACCCAACACCTAAAGTTAAAGGAGGAAAAGTGTATTTGGCTCACAGGATGCAGAGAGATTTCAGTCTGCAATTGGCTAACTCCAAGGCAAGGTGGCACATGGCTGAGGGGCCACAGTCCCCTCAGCAGAAGTCTGCAAAAGCAGCAAGAGACAGGAGAGAGGCCTCTCTGTGCTTTATACTGCATACGGTCTACCGGGATTAGGGTAGTACCAGTTCAACCTGGCCTGATCTGGCAGTCACCCACCATTAACCGCAGTACTACAAATCAATCACACACTCTAGACTCAGCCACCTCCAAAAAACCCTACAACTGCACAGGCTTTTAGGAGACATCTAGACACAACACGTAATAATAAGGAAAAGTAAATACCTGCTGAATAGTCCTCCATCCAAATTAGTTTTGTTCCCAGAGCTTTGGTAGAGTGAATGCATGTTGCCTTCATTTTCAATGTGTCCACGGGCTTTTTTGTTCAAAAATCTGACCAGCTGGGCATGGTTGTACATGCCTGTAATCTCAGCATTCAGGAGGCTGAAGCAGCAGGATCACCGTGACCAGCCTAAGCTATGTAGTGAGTTCAAGGCCAGCCTGAAGTACAAAGTGAGACCTTGTCACAAAGCAAAGCAAAACAAAATAAATCACACCAAAAGCTCTGACCCACAGAGCTGCATTTCTTGGGGATGTAGCTCAGTGGTCCAGCAGCACCCTACCATGCACCAAGCCCCAAACTGGATCCTCAACACTGAAAAAGAAAAGAAAAATCTGACCTAGAATTAGCAAGGGAACAAATGAAGCTGAGTGTGTCACTTACAGCCCCTTCAAGAAATCCATGGGGCGCCTCCTACGTCCCAGCAGGAGTTCTGTGCCTGCCTCCCCCGGGTTCTATGGAGTCAACCTGAACTCAAGCAGAGCTGCCCACAGGTGACAGTCACTTCCCAAGCACTGGCCTCCTCAGCTCACCTGAAACAGGTCAGTGAGGTAAGTCCCCTGCTCCCAGATGTCCCAGCCACTGCCTGTCCTGCTCGAATGGTTGAAGAAATGCTCTCCTGTCACCCAGCTGCCCAGGCTTGGGCCTCCCCACCCAGAGCTCTGCCCAACAACATCGCTTGCACATCAACCATTACTCAGACTCAGTGCCAAGATGGAGCACAGCCAGGAAGAAACAACACTGGCCTTTTAGCCTGGCCAGAGCAGTTCATGAAGATATCTCAGGGGCTTGGAAAGATGGACACTGCACAGAGCTTGGCATAGAGGAAGCTGGCGGACACCACTAGATCTTTGCTAGAGGAAACAAAGCAGAAAACTTGGAAATAATGGGCCCTTGGAGCCCTGGTTTCACTACAAGTCCATAGCCCCCTTGGGAGGAGGGACCCACTCGAATGTCATCAGCCGCAGCCCTCCTCGGCCCCCCCCCATCCCGTGCCCTGTGCCCTGTGCACTGCCCCCGACACTCGACCGGATATGCAATCCCATCCCCCAAGAGGGTCACCCCAGCCTCAGCACAGCTCCCATTTCCGGCCCTGGTGACTCCTCTCTGAAGTCTATTGTTCCCATGCAGTTTGGGTCACGGGAAGTGAGTCCCCACCCTTGGGGGCCGCCTACCTGCCCACCTCCTCCCTGGGGAGCCCAGCCTAGCCAGTGACCTCTCCAGAAGGCTGTCAATCCCAGCGGGTAATTTTCCAAAGATCCAGTCCCTACCAGGGGCAGTCCCATAGGTACGATCAGAATCTCCCCAAGAGCCAGACAGGAAAGCCAAAAGCAAGGGAAGAACTAGCCTTTCATAAGGGATCAAGGAAACACTGGAATCTGAATACAGGAGTTGGAGGCTCTGAGCTCCAAGCAACAAGGTCCTGCCCTGCCCTGCCCCACCCCCACCTCTACCTGGGCCCCAGGGCTGGAGACTTGGAGGGAGACTGTGTGAGAGCAGCTGTTTCAGCTCCAATTTCAGAGCTTTAAAGGGAGCTAACCTCTGCCAACACAAGGTCACGGGGGCAAGAAAGACAGGCAAGGTAAAGCCACTCTCACAAGCCTGAGTCTCCAACTGCCACTGGGCTGGCTTCAGTGACAAGACAAGCAAGGACCACAGCCAGAAGCCAATTGTCCTCTACTTCCCCTAGGAAGGAGAAGCCACAAGTTTGGCAATAGTTATGGCTTTAGGACAGTCACCAGCAAGACTCCAGAAGGGAAGCCAAAAGAGGATGTGACATTTGCATCCCAGACCTAAAAAGATATGGAGGGCTGTCGGTGGGGCACAGAGACAGAAATATGTGCTTAAGGTGAGCCAGGCTCCAAATTCAATCCCTGGCACCATGGAACAAAAGGTAACAATAATAAAATAATAATAATAGGCCGGGATATAGCTCAGCAGCATAAGCACCTGCCTGGCAAGTGCAAGGCCCTGAGTTCAATTCCCAGTACTAAAAATAATAATAATAATAACAATAACAGTGCCTGCTTGGTAAATGCCAGGTCCTGAGTTCCATTCCCGATACCATAAAATAATAGTAATAATAATAACAATAATAATGACAGGAGGATGAGGTGGATCACAAATTGAGACCAGCCTATGCAAATTGGACAATTAGTAAGACTCTGTTTCAAAATTTAAAAAAAAAAAAAATCAAAAAGGGCTGGAGATGTAGCTCATTGTGAGGGCATTGGGTTCAACCCTAGTACCACCATCATCAAACAGAAAAAAAAAAAAAAATCACAACCTGGCAAAGTAACACAGAGGTTTTTCACAGCAAACTTTCTGGCCAGGTATTAATTATGAGCATTCAGATGCGAAGGCCTTAAAGGCAGTAACCAATGGGATTGGCTAAACAGGAGGGAATTCCCACGCCTCAGGGTGGCCCAAGCAGAGGACAAGAGTCCCCAGCCCTCTGACAGCTTCTTACTCCAGCCTTCCAAGCAGATCTAAATATTATCTGTATCCATCCATATCATCTTCCAGGAATAAAGAACAGCATCCAAATATGCCAGTACCCCCACCCCTATCCCCCACCACACAGTGTCATTCCAGCCCATACTCTGGACACAAGGCCTCAATCAGGCAACCCTTGCCTCCCAGGCTGGGACCAAAGAGCTGATCACGTTGCTTCCCACAGCAAACGGTAAAAAACCAGGATTTGGAGCTAGAGAGGTAGCTCGGTGTTGCAGAAGACCTTTCCAGCAGGCAGGAAGTCCTGGCTTCATCCTAGCACCAGAAAAAAGGACGACTCTCCACTCGATGGCCTGGTCAGCTCCAGGACTTGTTTGAGATCAACCAGCATCTCAAGATTCAAAACGGTCTCTTCTTTCTAGGACCACCAACCCCACAACATCTCTAACCACCAGCCCAACATCTGAAGGCAAAGATCTCAACTTCCTTTGGCTTTCCGCCACCGTGTTCTACAAACTATTCCAGGCAAGAAGAGACTCTGCTTTCCCTCGGAGGACAGCTGCAGGCAGAGAGGCAGGTGTAGACAGTGCCCTCCGGTCTGCAGGGGGAGGAGAAGGAGCCTGGAGCCACAAACTGCCACCCTGCACTCGAGTCCCTATTACCACCCGCAAACAAAGAAGAGGCAAACAGAAGTCGGAGCCTGGACGAACTACCTCTCGGAGACCATCGCACCCTGGCTTAGGCACCCAGGTTTCGACAGACAGCACCCTCCTCGAGTAGGGGTCCTCGCACACAGTCCCTCTCATTCCGCACAAACACGCGCACCCAAGCTAAAGAAGCAAGCACAATCGGGGTAGCGTGGCCTTGCCCACCAGAGACGCGAGCCGGTGCGCTCAGGGGGGCCCTTGAGCTTGCAAGCTGCTCTTGCAGCTCAGCTTCCGCGGTCCTTACTCCTACTCTTTCTCCTCTGCCCGGAACACTGTGACTGTGAGCTCTAGGAGGCGACCTCGCAGGAGCCCTACACTCGCATGGTCCGCGCTCACCACGCAAGTTATTAGCACACGCCCGCAAGGATTCGGACCCTGGGACTGCTGCGTCGCCTGTGCGCTCGCGTCCACTTCTCCGATCTTTTCTGCCGCCCGGACTTCTTCCCCAAGAGTTCCGGGACCCAGCACCCCCAGCGGCGCCCCGCAATCTGCGCCGCCTCTCTGGTCCTCGGTGACACCGCCGGCACGTGCCCCGCGCGTTCGCGGTCCCGTCCCGCACAGACGCCCCTCGGTGCGCGCTGCCTTACCGGTCCCGGGTGAGAGGGGCGTGCGAGGCTAGGGTCCGGCGGGCGCCCCCTCTCCGGCTGGCTCGGCACTGCAGGGTGGGCGCGGAGCTCGGGCTGGGACGCCGTCGCCGACGAGACGCGCGGAGCCGAGCGCCCGCAACGGAAGGAGCCTCCCGGAGGACCGACGGCGACGCACGGCCAGGGCCGCCGGTGGAGCCCGTGGGGAGGACGCGGCCGGGCGGGCGCCTCTCACCTGCCCGCGCGGCCCTGCCCAGCCCAGCCCAGCCCGGCCTCTGTCAGCGAGGGGCGCGGAATGCGCGGAATGAGGGCCGGGCGGTGCAGAAGGCGGCGCGAGGGCGTGGGGCCGGGCCGGAGGGGAGGGGACCCGGCACCAGGGGAGGGGAGCGGGGCGCCCGCTAGGGGGCACCGGCGAGGGGCAGGCGCCCCAGGCTTCCCACGCGCAACCTCCTGACCTCCTGGGGGCTCTGCTGCGGGTCCCAGGCGGACCCCCGCCCCGGCGGGCCAGACTCCCGGAGCCTCTCGCGGAGCCTTTCCTCTCCGCCCGGTGGTGCCCTGACCCCATCCCTGCGCCCGCGGTCCCGGGCAGCCCGAGACTGCGGCGCCCCGCTCTGGAAGGGCTGCTCCGCCCGCCGCGCCCACCCGAGGACGCTCCCTTCTGGGCGCCAGGGGGCAGCTACTCCTACCCCTGCCCCACTAGGCCTCCGGGACGTGAGCCTTGTTGGGGTTCGTGGTGTCGCTCGGGATCGCGGAGCTATCACTGCAGAATTTCAAGTCCCGTGAAAGGGGTGCTCTGTGAAGTTACTGGACTGGCATGAGTCGTCTTTGGGGCCCAGTAGTATCTCGGTGTACATCTACTGTGTGTTGGGTGTTCACCCGATGCTGTAAAGAACAGGACCTCAGCACCAAACCACAGGGAACTCTTTATGTAGGTGGGTGTGGTGATGTGCACCTATAATCCTAGCACACAAAAGGCTGAAGCAGGAGGATTGCCGCAAGTTTGAGGCCAGCCTGGGCTACATAGGGAAACACTCTCAAAAATTTTTTTGTTTAATTAAAACAAACAAATATTGTATCAGGATATCAAGGAAAAAAATAAAACAAACAAAAAAGGGTTGGAGAATTTAAAAAAAAAAAAAAAGGTTGGAGATGTAACTCAATGCGAAGGCCCCAGTTTCAATCCCCAGTACGCCAAATAATAATAATAATAATAATAATAATAATAATAATAATGGATCAGGGATGTAGCTCAGTGAAGAGACTCTGGATACAATTCCCAAAGAAACTTAAATAATTGTGAGGCAGATTTAGTGACTTATACGTGTAATTCCAGCACTTGGGAAGTGGAAACAGAAAGACTGCCATAAATTCAAAGCTACCCTGAACATATATAGTGGGGCCCTGTCTCAAAATAAAATAAGGCAAAAATTTAACTGGAAAGACTCGGTAAAGAAGAGTGTTAACGTAACATGGAAGTCTGGGGTTGAAACAAGCAAGGCAAAAAATAAAAATGAATTTTAAAAATACATTAATATTTGGGGCCAGGGATTTAGCTCAGTGGCTTAAGCGCTTGCCTGGTAAGTGCAAGGTCATGAGTTCAATCCCAGGTACCAAAAAAAATTAAAAATTAAAATTAAAAAAAAAAGCAAGCAGGCAAATGAATGCAGGGGAAACTGAGTGCTAGAAATACTCAGGTTCCTGTTTGAAACTAATTAGAGCAAGCTGGCTCAAAGCAGTTGCATTTCGATGGAGCTCTGTTACACACTGTATTACATAAGAGACTTGAAAGCAAAGTACTTGGCTTTTTCTGAAAATCATATCCAACCTCAGGCAAATCTAACTTTGCCTCACAATGGGTGTGTTTGCCTCTTACCTCCTCACCAAACAGAAGCCCTTAAAGACAGTAAATGTCTGATTTATTTTTCAGACTCAGTACCATACTAGTACATACTACATATTAAATAAATAAAATTGATTTGTTACCATAGAAAATATTAAAAGCAAGGCACTAAAAATGCCAGACTCATATCCAAGAAGGGCATTCTGAAAGTGTGAGCTTTTACAACATGGAGGGACTAGTAATTAAGTACTCTTTTTTTTTTTTTTTTTTTTTTTTAGATAGAATATCCTATGTAGGCTGGCCTCAAACTCATGGTGATCCTCCTGCCTCAGGCTCCCTAGAAAAGTACAAACATGAATCACCATACCTGGCTTTTGTTTTTATTTTGCAAGAGGTTCTTGCTAAATTGCTAATTTACCTGGTTTGGGCTTGAATTTATAAGCCTCCTGTCTCAGCATCCCAGAATGCCAGAATTACAAGAACATGCCACTACCACAGTGACATTTGATCCAGCTTTTTTTTTTTTTTTTTTTTTTTTGGTCATCTTTTTGAGACAGGGTTTTGCTATGCAGTTCAGGCTGGCCTTGAACGCACCATGTAGTCCAGGCTGGCCTCAAACTCACAGTGACCCTTTTGCCTCAGCCTCCAGAGTGCTGAAATTAGAGGCACACGCCATTACATCCGTCCTGATCTAGCTTTTAAACCATAGATATGTTTTGCCAAGTTGAGACTGGAAAGCACACTGAGGTTATGTGGAATGGCACTAACAAAAATTAGGTGGCCTATGTACAGGGGGTGTTTAGGAAAGGCTTGTGAGCTGGTGTAGCTAGATGCTAAGCGATGTGAAGACACTGGACATGATGGGTCATGCCTGTAATCCTGACTAGTCAGAGGGCTGAAGTGGGAATACAAATTTGAGGCCAGCCTGGGTAACTGAGTTCCCATCTTAAAATTAAAAAAAAAAAAAATCAAAAGGGTATCAAGTTATGTCACATACAGTCCCTATGATGCATGTGATTATTACGTATACCTAAAATGTACCAATAAGCTTAATGAACTAAAAATAAATCAATGGGGCTAAGTGTAGGGTGCTTACCTAACAGGTCCAGCACTGGAATCCATCTCCAGTACCAAAAAAAAAAGGAAACAATAAGATAAAAAATAAAAAAGCGGGTGTTGCATTACAGAGATTGAGGAAGAGTGCCACACCTGCTGAAGATTTGGCCATCATAACAGCTATTTACATATGCAGATGACAAATCCAGGCTACCACCAGAGAGGACCTCCCAGGGTGGCCTAGAGACTACATCCCCTGAACTCTGGCAATGGCTCTGAGTCTGAGGCAGAGTTAGGATCTGGGAACAGCCTATGTGGACCACCGTACGTGTGCTGTGGCCAGCTGTTGGTGATCATAGAAAGCTCCATGACAACTGTCTCAGTATCAAAAGTCAGGGACAAAGCAGTAACGGTGATACTTTACCCAGTGAACAATTGGTCTTGGTGCTGCTGGGATTAGACTTCTGGCACCAGGAGCTGGGGTGAGCTGGTCAGAGATGGGCGAGGCCGTGCTTGGAGGAGCCTGCTGGTCTGCAGATGGGCTCAGTCTTCCCCTTGAGACCATGGGGAGCTTGGCTGGAAAGGTGTTTTTCAGGACGCTGGGTCCTGCCCTGCAAATTTCCAGAGAGCTCTGGGCTCTTGAGACTCTCTGAGCCTTGAGAAGCCTCTGGGAAAGTTGTCAGACACACAAATGGGGGAGGCTTAAGGGCAGCAGTGACTCTGTTCACACACCCTGCCCTTCCCAAGGGTGTGCACATCTGTGACGGAGGGGATGCTCTGACTGGCATCGGGTGTAAATCTGCTTGGCAGGCTGTTGTCTGCTCGAGTCACATATGGAGCGCTCCCCAGCACCGAGCTGTGCAGCGTCTCTTACCTGGATCTGGACTCATCCTACAGAGCTCCGCACCGCAGCTTGCTGTGGGCTGGTGCTGGAAGACCGGAGGCAGAGGTGTGGTCAGAGCTGCGTTCTTGTTTCTTGATTCATTTTTTTGAACCCAAGGCTTTTATACTGATCTGTACCCCCAGAATTCCCCCCCCCCCTTTTTTTTTTGTCTTTTTTCCTTTTCCCTTTTTATCGGTACCAGGGATCGAACTCACGACTGCCTGCTTGCAAGGCAGGCGCTTATGCCGCTGAGCTAAATCCCCAGCCTCCTCCCCTCCCCTTTTTAATATTTTAAGACAAGGTTCTCCTTAAGTCACTAATTTGTCCATGCTAGGCTCAACCTTGCAGTTGTCCTGCCTCAGCCTTCCAGTGCCCTGGGATTACAGGTGTGCGCCATCATGCCTGGCTCAGAGCTGCTTATGATGCGGGAATGTATTTATATTGGTCATGGGGTCAAGTAAAATTAAAAATCATGTTACTTATTGATACCATATGCTATTTGGTATTATTTCCATTCCTGTGGAAGCCACATGGGTCATAATCAAAGGAATTATCCCTATGAGACTTTGTTGGGCAGACTGAATCACATCTACCTGATGGAATTCTTCATAGCTATCAATTACATGCTCCTTTTATTCAGTTCCTTATTTTGAGTGCAGGGGATGGAACTCCGGATCTTGCCCAGGGTAGTATATGCCCTCTCACTGAGCTACACCCTTAACCCCTACAGATGCTTTTTTCCTTTTTTTTTTTTTTTTTTTTTTTTTGTCTTTTTCCTTTTTATCGGTACCAGGGATCGAACTCACGACTGCCTGCTTGCAAGGCAGGCGCTTATGCCGCTGAGCTAAATCCCCAGCCCCTACAGATGCTTTTTGAAATAAACCAAACATTCATAATATAAGTGCAAAAACAGGTTCTGAAAACAGTATTTATAGGATGATTTTGCCTACCAAAAAAAAAAAAAAAGATGGAAAAGAATGCTGGGTATGATGGTGCACATCCAGTATCCCAGCACTTGGGAGGCTGAGGCAGGAGGATCACTGAGAGTTCAAGGCCAGCCTGGACAACATTTTGATCCTGCTTTTTGTTTTATTGTGTTTGTTTTTTACAGTGCTAGAGAACTAATGGCAGGGCCTTGTGCAAGTTAGCAAATGTTCTATCACCAGCCTGAGATCCTGTCTCAAATAATCACATAAAATTTTTTATTTTAAAAAGTACTTTAGAATGATTAGCTCTGTAAGTTTGAAGAGGGACTTTCTTCCTCATTTTTATTCTTTATTTTCTGTAACAAACTTGTAGTGGCTGGGCGTGGTGACACACACCTGTAACCCAGCAATGGGGACACAAGGCAGGAGGATCACCATGAATTTGAGGTCAGCATGGAATACAAAGTGAGTTCAAAGCCAACGTGAACTGCATAGGGAAACTCTGTCTCAAAAAGACAAACAAACAGAGAAATAAAAAATTTTATAAAGCAATGACAAAAATAAAAGACTTGTACTTCTTTAATTT